GGAGTTTGACTAAAGTTCTTTTTGTTTGTTTCAAGTTTTGATTATTGTATATAATACAAAATGCCATATTAAACAGGGAAATGTGGAGGATTTAAAGCTGACATTTTGAATCTTTTTTTGTATTAGCTCGGTAATGTTACCAGCAAAACAGCAGGTATTATAACAGTGCCCACCTACATTATCAATATGTAAGTTTTAGTGTGAACTTGCTATCCCACTTTTAGTGCATGCTGCCATCTGGTTGGAGCTTGTGTGACTTCATGAATTTGAAATGGGTCTCATCACTTTAGAACCGATGGGCCCTAATTATATCAAGATCCATCTTACCTCTTTTTTTTTTTTAATTTCATTCAAAATGCCTTCCATTGCTGCAAGCCTTGTTTCAACAAATACACAAAGCTGAAAATAATTCAATCCTGGGAAGGTTAAATATTTTCGTTCCTGTTCTGCAGAAGTATAGATTTTTAAAATATTTTTGGCAGTTCATATAATAAATACCCTTTAGTTCTGTGTTCATCTTGACCTGTTGAATACCATTGCTGTTTCACCATTGCAAAAATTTTCCTGGGCTTTGAGGGGTCTGAAATGTTGGATTCCTTGACATTTGGGGATCTAAAATGGACCTATTAGACATCATCTGGTTTATTGAATTCAGTTTTATAGATGTTTAGAGAGTGTTCAGAAGCTTGAGTGTACATCTAGTTTGAACTAGAACTCTTAAGTAACCTTCCCATGGTAGTAACCACATCCCCTTATAAATATAGTTAGTATATATTCTCCTGTTATATCCTACATTGCCATGTGATTTCTTACCGTGCATCTATTATGTGCTGCTCTACATCTGACATATTACGTGTTGATGTCTCAGCTCTGCTTATTCCAACTTTGTGAAAATAATAGTTGAAAGCAAATTGCTAAATATAATTTGGGAGTGGGATAATGGTGGTTGGGTCACACATCGTTTCTGGCCTTATGTAGGAAAACTAAACACAGCCGTGAGTACCATTGTGGCTCTAGCACCTCATTTTTGTTTAATAGTTTTATATTCTCCCATATTAAACATAACTTTGTGTTGGAAAGATAGAAAGCTTTAACATTTAGAACTGCTTTGCCTCACACCCATTCCATTGTGCTATCTTTGTTAGAACCGAGTTAGCTTTGCTTTGCAACTTGATACGCTTATAAGGACCTGTACCTGCAGACCACAAGTGTTCCTTCATTAGAATTTGTGTTGGCCTTTATAAATTAATGCAACATATTTTATAGGAAAGTTAATTTAGCAGTTGGGAGCCTCGCTGGCTAAGTGGATTACAAACTGGCTGCTAACCGTAGGGTCTCCCATTGCAACTCCAGCTGTTCCCAGGAAGAAAGATGGAGGCATTCCCCTGCAGGAAATCCACAGGGGCAGTTCTCTGTCTAAAGGGGGATGACTCATCGCCACTGAGTTTTTTGTTACTATTAATGCCGTTTAGGAGTGAGAGAGACTTGGTTTCAAGGTGCCTTTTGTTAAAAACTTCAGAGTAACAATGCCTTGAGTGTCTTAGGCTGCACTACCAATTTGTGTGTGTATGTGACATGCTGACAAAGGTTGAGAGGGAGCAGCTTTGAGTAAGAAAACGATTCTTAATATCTTAAATTCCCTTTTCCCAAGGAGCCTTGGGGCATGGAAGAAAACCAACCCCTTAACATTTCTCTTATACTGGCTTTGGCCCTCCATCCCTACAAGTAGCTGAGTAAAGGATATTTCCCCTTAAGTGTGTTGAGGGGATGAGGGAGAGAGAAATGGAGGTACTACAATGAATTATGCCTTGTCTAATGAATAAAACTTCATCTTGCTTTTGCCTCCCTCTTCAATGTTTGCTGTCTTGTTGCCTACTCGATTAATCTTAATACTCTACAACCACCTGTAGATTAGCTAATCTTAAGTCTTCTGAAGCTTCATTTAACTTAAATCAATTGGATTCGCTTACCCAAAACTTGTAAAGAGTTCAAAGAATAACCAGTACATTGAACACTGCTCCATGAGGACTCAACAACTAGTATTTTTTGAACCACTTGAAAGCAAAAATCACTACAAAATAAGTACAAGATCACAGAGATCTTTATTAAAAATATAAAGTGTGAAACTTCTTGATGCTTCTGAAGATGGTATTTTCTTTAGTGGGTTTCTCTAATGTATTCTGAGTGGTTTATACCATGTCAAAAATAGTAGTTTGGACATTTCAAGGGACTCCTCATGTTCCCTTTCAGTGTCTGGGTTTGGGGAACAAGATTTCTAAAGGTGAGGTCAAGGCTATAGGGTAGATGATAATTCTCAGAGACATTCTTATAGGACAACCCTTGCTGCCCTGAAAGGAAGTCATGATTGGGAACCATTTCTCAGTGTAATAGTCTTGGTCTCTGTCATCAAAGTAGTTTTATTCTTAAAGCTTCCTAATAAACTTTTCCTTCAGAAAGCCTTATCAAGAATACTCCTGTTGAAATAACACGAAACGGTCACCTTACCCTGTACTTCCTTGATTTAATGGATTTAGCAAATGACCCTGGAAAGCCAGTTTTCATTGAACCTGTTAGTGAAGGGGCCTGTGTTAATCTGTAGACTAGAGGAACAAATCCACAGAAACTCGTGTGTAAGAGTTATATAAAGGGTAAGGGTACACTAAGAAAACATCCCAGCTCAGTGCTGTGAAGCCCCTAAGTCCACCATTAGCCCATATGTCTACACAGTCTTCAGTTTCACAAACATGCAGGAGGAAAGCAGGATTGGTTAGTGTAAGCATCACCGTTGGCAGGGATCTCCATGTGGCTTCTCGGTTGTATCTCAGGAAGTGAGTTCTGCGAGCTGAAGCAGGGAACTGGCTAAGGCAGCTGCACCCTGGTCGGACCATTGGAAAGCATGAGCTGAGAACTAGAAAGGCCAGGCTCATGGAGCCTTACATATCCACTCTTCGATTAATCCCACGTGTTTATTGGCCAGGCAGGTTGGCACAATAAACCTTAACTATCTCAGTACCCTAACAAGATTTAAGTAGTTTGTAGAGCTGTTTAAACCATGTCCTGTTTAGAATAAACCTGTACATTTAAAGGGGTTCCGCCCCCCAAAATGGGTTTTTCAAAGATACAAATTGCTTTAGAAAACATTAAAAGTACTCTCCATTACACTAATACATTAATCACGTCTGCGATTCCATTCGTGGAAACATTTTTCAGGCGCATCGTTTGGATACTACCTCATTTTTCCCCTTTATCTCTTCATCAAATCGCTGCCCTTTCATGTCCTACATTTATGGAATGAGGTCAAGGTGAGTAAGGTTCCCCAAACTGGCCCACTGACCTGGTGAACGAACTCCAATACACTGTCCCCCTCACATTAAAAAGGAAATTTGGGTGGGGGTAATACACCCAAGGACCTGAAAATCCAGTAGCAGTACTTTCTGACTTTCCACCGTTCAACTATCAACTCGATGTCCAGTGTGGGGAAAGGGTCCTGAGGAGTTGCTTGTGCGGTTGTGGAAAATGAGACTGAACAGCAAGGCTTATTAACTTGCCTGCTTGCCTGATGTTGGGGTTCGAGTCATGAGGCTCACAGTTCTCCAGCAGGCACATATGTTAGGGTGGACAAGTTCTAGACCAGTGGTTCTCAACCTTCCTAATGTCATGCGACCCTTAAATACAGTTCATGTTGTGGTGTCCCCCCAATCATAAAATTATTTTCGTTGTTACTTCATAACTAATTTTGCTACTGTTAGGAATTGGGCAACCCCTGTGAAAGGGTTGTTTGACCCCCAAAGGGGTCGTGACCCACAGGTTGAGAATCACTGTTCTAGTGTTTAGCGTGAGTCAGCTTAACCTTGGCTGTCCCTGAGAGCTCTTAGGGGAACAATCTGATCAGTCCTGGGCATCAGGAGATAACTGCTCCTTGGGTGGGACCCGATTTAGAAAAGGATCTGAGATAGGCATTTAGCGCGCGCACACACACACACACACACACATACCCTGGGTAGCCAGTTGCCTGCCGGAGATAGCTTTATATTAGCATTTTATGGAGGGCGATTGGGACTTTCAGATTTTATTTCTGAACAAAATCTGATTTTATTCTCTGAACTTTCAGAGAATATTTTATCTCTGTATGGGAACTGTCTTTCACTAGGGCCAGTCTTCCAAGCCCTGTGGTAAAGTGTTTAGAGATTAGGCGTTATCTCCTCCCTTCTGGGTCCTCAGTTTCCTATAAATCCAACATTTGTTCCT